GAGCGAGCGCGCGGGCAAGTGCTGGCGCGGGCGAGTGAACAGGCGGACGTGGCCACTTGCAGCGCTCGTCAGCCGCGCCGTGCAGCCTTTTCCCGATCGGCGCGGCGCGGCGCGGCACGTCGGAGCTCTTCAAAGATCGGAGAGATCGCGCTGAGAGCCGCCAGGTGAATTTCATCTCGAGAGACGTTTCCTCTCGCCGACGCCGCTCCCACCGTCACCGCAGATCGCGACAGCTTTCTTACGGGTGGGAAGGTGCAGCCTGCGATCACGCAAGTCTCTTGGGAAGGAACAAGGATTTATTACCAACTAGACTGTAATTATTAATTATGGAGGATTCGCAGTGGGAGAACAATAACGTTTTTAAGTATAATACGGGACTAGATATTAATGAGAGGAACTCAGAAGGACTATCAAATAACACATCTAATGTTGAATATCCACAAGAGTTCATAATAGACACGTAAAGATACGTTGTAATATAATTCAGTTCTTAGACAAAATATGAGGTAAATGGTTAAGATTCGCCCTAGACTTCAAATTGTGGGTCATACCGTGTGCCTTTGCACCAACCATTAAATACAATGCGTGTAACTTTTGCGTCGGGACTCCAATCTAGGAAATTCCGGTCAGAAAAATAGGAGCTAACCTGAAACAGAAAAATCTATTGGATGATCGGCGAAAAATCCTCTCTCTCCCTCTCCCTCCCTTTCTTTCCCTCCCTCTATTTCCCTCCCTTTCTCTCTCTCTCTCTCCCTATCTCTCCTTCCCTCCCTCTCTCACCCTCTTTCTCTCTCTGCAATAAATTACTAGATTACAAGAAGATATTAAAACCAGATTGGACTTACGGATTGTAACTTTGAGGAACAGCCAGTCATTCTATTACAGAAATTCTACAAATATTTTAATTAAAAGTTCTACGATACAAAACTAATGCACCGTGGTATGTATCTATAATACTCTACATTCTTATTTGCAGCTTCAACCTATCAATCAGAATACAGCCATTTCCTGAATACCATTACCATTTCAGAATACAGCAGACGATATGACAACAAACTCGAAAACCATTCAAACTACTTTGTAGTGAACATTCTGTAATAAACTTTGTGAATAAATAGTTGAAATAAAAAAGATCTTCTGCGTACAGGAAAACAAAGCTAAATTAATTTTATTGTGTTACAAATTATCAGAGTAAAAGAAAGTGTTATAAGTTATGAACATATAAAAATATTTATTTTTACAAAATTAAGTTTTGTCAGTTTCTTTAGAATAATTGTAGGCTTTCTACTATATTCCTATAACGAACAAATACAAATTTATGAAAATGGGAAAATAATTATAAACTTATGATTAGTAGTAAAATAAATCAAACGTTAATATTTTAATTTTTCTTTATTTTAAAAAAGTTAGACACATGAAATTAATGTCCAGACACTTTAGTCATCTTTCCTGCTTTCTCAAATTACGTGCATTTGAAAGTATAGATTGGTTCCTTTAACTTGAAATAATGTGGCAGTTTGTAATAGAACAATTAATATACTAAAGCGTGTTTGAAAAACATTCACTTATTTACCCAGCCCTGTAGTCAGTTTCGACGCCCTGGAACTGTTAGATGACGCGGCTTCATGTTAATACCAGATGCGGACACGATTGTCATCACTGTACAATGGGAGAAAAGTCTCCAAACTATCATCCTGTGAGTGTTAAAGGTCTCCTCTTCACTTTCCTTTAGCGCACGCGGCTTGCCTTTTGTTGGAATATTCAGCCAGAAGAAGCTCCGTTGTTGGTTTCTGGCTATGAATCACGAGAATACGCAAGACAATTGTATAAACATGAATGTCCTCTAATTTTGGGGTTTAGTCACTCTGGCTTTAAAACCATCAGTAACATAGAAGTACTACCACTAGCTTTACACATTGAGTTATCGCAGATGAAATTCCGATATATCCATGTGTTGCGCGTTCGCATCGGCTTCTTTTTTTCGAAGTTCTCTCTGTTCCTAGCCTCTTCTTCCATTTCATATTTCCTCTTAACCCTCTTCTACATCAGGAGACCTTCTTTGATTCCTAAGATCGATTATTTGTTTAGAATACAGGGTGCCATCATTATCAAAACGTTAATTATACGGATTATATGAAGCTCTGACATAATAAATTTCCTATATGGAAACCTGTTGTTGAATTTATGGCTTCCATTTCGGCACATCTGATGATGGCTAACCCGTAGAAAGTCGCTCTTATAATAAATAAAAAAATTGTAATGATGCCTTTTACTCAAGTGTTTAGAATGTCAAGAATACTAAAACAATATACCAAAACTATTGATACTCGTTTGCTTTACTTTTTCGCCCTTAAGAATGTAAGAAGAGAAAATATTTTAATTTGCACCGGAAAACCGCGAACGTTTTTTACAGAAAAACTCTTGTCATGGGGTCTGGTAGCGAAAATCTGGATAAATCGTGTTCTTATACAAAGAAAGTACTTACTCTAACACCTGTTGTATAGAAAATCCTTGTTTTGTGAGACCTTGATATCGGAATATCGAATAACAGCAAATATCTCTCTATTTCAATTTCTGTGGTCAACGCTAGCGCCTAAACTGTTCAGCCGATTTTCTCCAAAATTGATCGATATAAACGAACTCGAGGTTTTGGGAGCACCAAACGATATTTCGATTTTTGAGGGTACTATATATACTCAAAAAAAGTTTCAAAATCTTCATAAAAATGGCTCCCAATTTTTCAAATATAACTTTGTTCTCAAATAGCGTAAAAGCCGCTTAAGAGATTGGATGATCATTGATCTCATGATCGTTGACCATTGATTGGATCTCATGATCGTTGAAATCCCTGTTTTTCGAACAAAACAAAAAGTGCTAATTTTTGGGCATTTCCCTACGCTACAATATTGAAAATGAAAATATTTTAACTGAAATCTTCTGTTTGAAAACATATCTTCAAAGTAGGCCATATTCAGTTTTTTAAAATTATGAGTAGTTTTCTTGTAATTTGGCGCAAAATGAACGGACTTTTTAAATATTTGAACAATTGTTTGTCAAAAACCTCTCCAATTAAAATCTTCTCCTCGTATGTATCAAGGGATGGTAAAAAAATATGGTGCTGGTCTCATTTTCAGCAAACTTTCCATATTTTCTAAAACTGCAAAACGTTCAAATTTGAAAACTGACCAAATTGAAGATTTTAGTCTTAGACAAACTCTTGTAAAAAAGAAGCTGTTTAAAACAGACATGTACAATTTAAAAAAGGTAGTTTTTGCGTAATTCGCACGTGAAATTAGTGCAAAAAATCTTGAAAAACGCTCTAATTTTTTTCTTTAATTTTCCCCGAATAGAAGAAAGAACGCGTAAAGTAATGGCGCTGGTATGGTTTGCTGGTATGGTATGTTTGGATTTTCGAAAATTGCAAATTTAGAAATAGTTTGAGAAACTACATGCTGTGGAAGTACCTCTAGTTTATTTAATTATTTTATTTTTTATTTAATCATATTAACAATATGATCATAAGTAACTGTTTTGGGTGATAGCTATAACGATGAGATTACATTTTACATGAATCTCTTACAATATTACATTAAATATGACTACAGTTTTACATTATTATTTAAAATTTTTGTATTAACTCTGTCTACTAGATATGACTGTGTGCATTGTTTGCACAAGTTTCTAATCACTTATTCGAATTTTCTTTCTTTCATAATTGTAATAAAAAATAAGGCTATATAAGAAAAAATATTATTCTTTAAATAATATATCAGCAGACTATAGAATAAATGATTGCCATATGAAGCCATTGCTTTAAACAAGTGAAAGGCATTGAATAAATACTTCAAGAGTTTAAAAATATTTCAATATTTGTTTCCACCTCTTAAATCATTTCTCGTGTTTTCGCGAAAATCTTGATTGCAGAGAATTTTCAATTTTTCATACTCTTGCACGTTTCGTCGTTCTAAAAATATATGCATCAGAATAATAAAATTATAGAAATAAAATGGTAAGAATATTTTGGGATAATTCATTGTTGTTAACAATAATTTAGTGAATAAAAATTATTTTCTTTCTGTATGATACAGTGATATAAGATAATTTTTTAAATATTGAAATATTATCATTTATTTTATTTAAAGTTCCTTGAACTTAGTAAAACATACCGAGTTTTTATATAACAATTTATTTCATGTTATATAATTGCGAAATCATGTTTTATTATATAAAAACTCAGTCTGTTTTATTACGGTCAATGAACTTACAATAAAATAAACATTACAACAGACGTTAAAATATTCATTAATTATCATTAATAATGTGGCTTTTCACTTAAATGAACTTTAAAATAAATACATCTCAGCACTAAATTTAATTTAGAATATTCAGCAGAGAGAATCGAACAATAAACGAACATGAAAGGAGAAAGATTCGGTTATTATTATGTTTGCTGGATTCTGAGACGGCAAAAGTCCTACAGACACTAAATCTTTAAAAAAAAACTTAAATCTCAAGTCACATGACGTTTTGGAAAACATATGAGAGCTAAAACAGTCTTCAAACGTTTGATACAAAAATTGAATCTTCAGTTGATACGCCAACTTTTCGAGATTTCTGATCTTATTTTACAATGCTATATTATTTGATTTCAGGGGTAATGTCAGTTTAATGAATGAATTCATTTAATTTAATTCATTCAATGCACACAATGGACAAAAATACGTTCTACGAAAACACTCTAAATTTATTCACACGCATACAGTTGAATACTATATCTAAACCTGGTTTAGCTCAGGGTGACAACGAAGTACGAAGGGATCAAGATTAAGAATTATACGCAAAAATTTGTTACGCAATATTTGATCCCGTGACCAACAAAATCAATTCAGGAGCACGTCAATAATAACTATTATCATCAGCTTTAATAGAAAGTTCATTCAATCGTTTCTTTTTCTAAGATTGTAAAACCTGGATGTCAAGTTTAACAAGAAGTTACTTAGGGGATCCTTCCTGGATAACATTCCATATGTTATTTTTTTATGTAACGTTTGTAATTGTGTTAAACAGTTAAAACTGTAACTTGTCGTGGACTACAAATACAGAGGAAGAAGAGATGTAGGATGACTCAGAAGAAAGTGGACAACGAATAGGTTCTAGGATCTAATCCTTGAAGTGCAGAAGAAGAAGAAGAGTTAAAACTCTTGCAAGACATTATCTGCCGATAACAGAAAATATATTTTTTAAATCTTTGAGGTCAATCCCACTCATCTGGATCTCTTCTCCCCAGTTTCCCTCGACGCATCAAGCAGGTGCAGAAAAGGCCCTTTGTCTAGCTCCTATTGTCGCTGCAAACGCACGCCCCTTTCTCCGGTGCGAGGTCTTTGGCCGCGACCCCCGGCTGTCGCGTCCGCGCCGCGGGGGACGGAGCGTCGCGCGGCGCGACCGCCACGCCCTGGCTGCCGCGAGCGGAACGGCGCCGCGCGACTCGACGCGAGAGAGGGAGAGGGAGGGGCGGAGAGCGTCCGGGAGCGAAGCCGGGACTCGCGCCTTAAAAGCGCGTCGCGGCGCTGGCCAAGGCAGAGCGCCCGGAGCCGTCCAGCCGCCGCCACCGCTCCGCTCTCTCTCCACCATGAGACCCGCGCTGCTGGTGAGTGTTCTCGCGTTGCCTCGGACGCCTCACGTCTTGCTCTTGGTTTGTGCTGCGAGCCAGTGCACTTGGAGTGCGGAGTTTACAGCTTGTTTGGCGTTTTGAGCGTAGTCATTTGAAAATTTGGGGTAGATATTTTGATTTTAGGTTAATAATATTCTTACACATAAATGTTTCTGCCAACATGAATGGTCGAGGTGGCTAAGAACGTGTACTGACTCAGCGCTTCGGCCCAAAGGTTTGAGGGTTCGAATTCCACCTTCGGTATGGTAGTTTCTTCTCATTTACGTGTTGTCGCGAAGGACCTCGCGTTCTGCTGATCCCAGATCGGAGGAGCCGTCAAGTGTGTTGATGGTTTTTCTATGGTCGAAAATGCACCCCATTCCAACATAAAGGGTAGTCATCTGGATAAAAGCCCTAGGAAAAAATAATATGAAATAATATTTAAAATAGGGTATTTGTTTTTGGGGACTTCAACTTCAGGACAACAAATGTAGGTTGAGAATATTGATGCTTAGACATTTGCCTTCTTGTCCTTTGTAGAATTAAAACTCAATGATCTTTCGGCCTTTAGGTTCAGATTTTATTAAAAGGAATAGTGGCGTTGCCTTACCCATCATTATTATTTACTGCAAGAGCAGTTTTTAGTTGATCATCAGTTACTGGCTGCTGTGAAGACAGAAAAACAACTACTTGTAGTAATTTTCTGGCTGTTGAAAAGCAGGGTATTCGTGAGGGAGGGGGAGGGACAGAGCGTGCGGAAGTTGTGACCTGCGCTTTAAAAGCGCGCAGCAGCGCCAGTCCAGTCGCCGCCACCGCTCCTCTCTCCACCATGAGACCCGCGCTGCTGGTGCGGGTTCTCAAGACGTGATTCTCGCGCTGTATTGCACCACGTGCGAAGTCTACAGGTTGTTTACCGTTCCGAGTGTTGAATCATTTGCAATGTTGAGATGGTTTGATCTTGGCTGTCCGGGACGATTCGCGTCTATGTCGCGATGTCTGACGTTCGGGTGTGCATATTTTGCCCTTCCTCAGAGCGCACTGTTCGCCAAATCTAAGGGAGTTCACAGTACATCGGCTCGTTTCGTTGGCACACAGACCGACTCGTTCAAACAGTTGAGATCATGCAAACCCCGGCCGCTGACCCTACGCAATTACTAGGAAAAGGTATTTATATATTAATAATATTCGATGCCCTAACTTTTTGTGAGGTATTGTTTACCCGTGGCTTTGGGGATTTCAACTTCAGGACGATGAAGTTGAGATGAAGTTGTGCAGGCGTTTACCGACTTGGTCTCGTATGCTAAAACTTCTAACGGTCTGACGGGATTCAGGTTCAGATGTTAATAAAGAGATTAGAGGTGTTGTGTTGACCAACATTATTATTTATTTTAATAGCAGATTTTGATGACGTAGCCATCATTAAGATCCAAAAATGCCATCCGTCCCACTCATCATCATGCAACATACTTTACCATTGCGCATATATTTGAACATGTGAACTCCAAACTCTTAAAACACGGATTGATGATCCTTCCGTGTTTTCTCAGAGAATGTTCTCTATTTGTAAAAAATGAGACTATTGGGAACTTTTCATTATACTTTTGGAGGTTCAGCCTAGTTTCAGGAGTTCATGAAACATTTAAACAAATAAACGTGAGAAATTTTATAGATTATATTACGCCAGTAGGTGCAAATGCAATCGTCACGCTGCCACATGCTTTATAATTTCTGTCAACCCATGTATTGGAGGACACAGGGAAATACTAGGGTTCGATTTCCTATGGAGGTGAATTTTCGAATCAAGGTATATACGTAGGTCTGATTCAACCACTGACAGAGAAGTCTAGTGGTCAGCTTCTCTGATCGGTACTTATTCGTGGTTTCTCCTATCTATATCAAGCGAATGCCAGATTAGTACCATGACAAACGGGCCTCCTGCAGCGGGCATATTTTGATCCTCTTTCTTGTTGTCTCCTCCCCGTTGCACTCAATAATACACTAACTTGCGCTACACTACCAAACATATAGGATACCAATCGGGAGTTTAGAGGCTTAGAGTTGGTAGTGGCTGGGGCAAAAACTGGAAGACAATATCTGCCAGTAGCCGACTTGTAGCCCGATGCCGGATGTCATCTAACTGGGCTAACTACTGCTACATCTGAGCATAAAAAATTATTCACTACAATGCAACGAATGATCACAGCAGTTAATGAACCCAGAAACATTAATCAACCAACTAACCAATAAATCCATGAAATCAATCGATGTGGTAAGTTTTCGAAACATCTGATCCTGCAAAACTGTAAAAGGTTCAACACGTCTTGTTTTGAAGTTACTGAATGTGAATAACATGCAGCGCACCAGTCTCGAAATATGTGCGCGCTGCGGCGTGACATGTGTTGCGTGTTGCGTTGTGCAGGTGGATATAATGCCGTCTTAATATTTGAAACATAAAGGGTTTTAGATTGGAAAGAAAATGTGATATTTTCCTCAACCTAATACACTGTTTTTTTTTTACTTAAATGAAAGGTAGTTGACTCCAAATGTGTTACCACTTGCCAGTGTTAACCGGTTTTATAGCACAAACACTCTTAAAATAAACAGAATGAATGCTTATCTTCCGTCGTTTGCTCATGACGTCGATTTTTTGGTTGTGTGAGTGTCAATCAGTTTTTTGAAAGTATTCCATGTATTGGCGTTTAAATCGAGTAAGCATGTATAAGTTTATAGTTAACGAAGCGAATATTCCCACTGTTAAAAAAATATACCAGTTCAATGTTTTACATATATTTGAACGTTTTGAATAATAGATATATTTCAAAATTGTTTAGGACGATGCCATCTATTTACGTATTATCATTAGAGTGTTTGTATTTAGATAATATATGACCCGTAAAGGGCAATTGGCACCGTTAGCTTCCAGGGTTCCCAATCGGTCACCAAACCAGGAATCCGCGATGTCTCGAATTCGCTTATCCTTCGTGACTTCACGTAGCTAACGGATTCTGTTACCGCCTCTAGTTTCGTGGTAATGGCCTTTCAGGGTAACCAATCCAGCATTTGCCAGAATAACCAGGATAACCCACGAAAACGTCCGTCAGAATTGCCGACACGGGGGTTGAACCCGAGCCTTCCGAAGTCTCCTAGTTCGTAGTGTTGAGAACCGGGAGCAGAAATTAATATTTGAAAATTCTTACTAGTTTGAAGATTGTTAAAGTTTTTAATGTCAGTTTTTTTAAGTTTGAAGATCCAGTGTTTATAATTGCAAAGATTAGTGCATATACATAAATACAATGGCGAAAAATCATATTAAAAATGTGTTTTTTTCTGTAAATGTGCCAGATAGTAACTTGTGTTGTTACTCTTTTTTAATACACGTTTTTAGCATAAGTTGGATCACTGAAGTCCACTGAAACAAACATGTCCATATCTTGGTAAAAGGAAATATTTCAATTATATTTCGTGAAACATTTTAAACTTTGTGTTGACAGTAAATAGTAATCGAATAGTTCTAGAATTTGTAGACCATCATTTCTTGAGTTTTGATGAGCACGTATTAATCGACATGCAACATTTTGGCGTGCTTTTATTTTGCGTATACTAGTAGTACATATGTACGTATTTTTCTACAGTTATGTTAATTTTAAGTATCATAAACTACAATGTCCATAAGAGACTATTCAAATAATTCAACGCAATCACAAATCTGTGAAAATAACAATATGTTTACAAAATTGAATACATTTTTCACGATAACTTGGCGATGATAAAATTGCATTGAAGTTTTCGTTTCTTTGGTACTCTTTTCTATCTTGATTCTGGAAGGGGCATTTCATAAAGATGCTATTGGTAGAATTATTTTTCAGATGGTACTTCTTTCTTGTTGTAGCTTCTCTTCAATTTTGAGCGATACAATGGCATGGGTTCAACAAGTAATTTTTAAAATCAACATTTTTTCTTAAATCTGTATGAGAATTTCTTAATCTGGATTATTGTAACGAAATATAAACCAGAATTTACTATAACACTATTGAACCGTACCAATTTACCTAATGCAATAGGTGGGGTGAGTATTATTTCCTTACATTCTTGTTTTGTATCGTCTAAATTTGTCGTGTGTATATTTTAGTCGAAAAATAGCAGTTTTCTAGATTTTTTTGGTGTTTTATGAGAGATTTCATGAAGAAAGAATGTAAACTTCTAATTCTATTTGTTTATTGATTTATTATATTATTTTATTGATATTTTCAAATGAGATAACATGGTGAATTATATGGTTAGACAAATGCATCAGAATTTCACATTTTTTTTAAAATTTTTCAATGTGACATTAAATGTATATGTTATGAATGCTAAGTTTGAAACCATTCATTATAGAAACAAATACAAGGATAAATACAAATAGTGTAAACTGAAAGGAAATTGATATTAAAAGTTCAAAAGGATGGTCTGAAAGCAAAATAATAAGCATTGTATACTATTGTTAAATATATAGTCTCACATAATTACGAAAATCATAAAAAATCACACAGTAAAATCGTAATTTATCATTCAAAAACATTACCACATAATGATTAATGTCAATTTCACTTTTGAAACACAAAAGTCATTTCAATTCATATTCAGAAAAAAATTGCAGACTTTTCTGTTGAAATTCAGAAAGCAAATGATAACGTTTTCGCAATCAGTATTGTAAGATAACTTAAATGGCATTTCAATAATAACTCAACTGTCAAAGTTCAGACTTTTGTGATGCCAACAAATAGGTTGTCGGCAAGGCTTTTCCCTTTTTATGCCAATGTAACGAACTCGAAATTCGTGCCTTTTGCGGACACTGGATGAGGCATTTAAGATTACAAAATTACATTCAATTTGAACGATATGAATTATTTTTAAAATGTTAGAATGTAGACCAATATTTCAGTATGAAAATAATAACATTTTATATGAACGATGTGAATGATGTTAAATGTATCAATATTGTTCACTCAAGATCTAAGGACTTTTAAACTTCGGAGAAGTGAAAGTGCATTTCAAGCGTTATTGTCTTTTTTCATAGATTTTCTCACCAATATGAAAATAACTGTACTTCGTGTTCAACTCTTCATGTGTTACTGTCGAATTAAATTGCTATGGATTTAGAACAATCTACAAACACAATACTCAATTGTTACACATGTTTTTCCATTATTTAGGTCTTCTTAGAAGGAAATCATTGATAAATTTCTTATTTAAGTATTCTAGATGAAGTGCTAGATATTCAATAAGAACTGCTTATTTATTCCTTTTATTTTTCTTGCCTGTGATTCCATATATTTCGAGAGTACTTCTTGTTACGCATTGCAGATCCTGTCTTTGGCCGTGGCCGCCGTGCTGGCGGGCGAGCAGACGGCGCAGAAGGCGGCAGCGGCCTCCGCCGACGCCTCCGCTCCGCAGCCCTCCAAGCGAGGTATCTCCTCGCTGGGCTACGGCGGCGGCGGCGGCGGGGGTGGTGGCTACGGAGGCGGACTCGGTGGCGGCCACGGCGGCCTTGGAGGAGGACTGGGAGGAGGTCATGGAGGGCTCAGCGGTGGCTACGGAGGCGGCCTCGGAGGAGGCCATGGAGGGTTAGGAGGTGGCCTTGGAGGTGGCCTTGGAGGCGGCCTTGGAGGCGGCCTTGGAGGCGGCCTAGGCGGTGGTCTTGGCGGTGGTTTCGGCGGCGGTCTTGGAGGTGGAGCGGGCGGCGGCGGCGGCGGCGGTGGTGCGCAGGTGTTCGTGAACACGGTGACGCGTCCCGTGGAAGTGCCCGTCCCTGTGCCATACACCGTCGTGCGTCAAGTGCCTGTGCCACAAGTAGGAATTATTAAGAATTCTCCCATTTTTAGGCTATAGTGGTCCTGACTCATGATCTAGTTATATGTATTTTCAGGAAAAGTTCAGCCCTTGTAATTACACCGGATTCACATTTTAAGATTACACTCTTACAAAACCACAATGGCATCTGTTTTTATGCTAATTTTTATATATCTTTAATTTTTCTAAACATTATATTACAAAGACATTGCGCAAGAAATTATTACACACTCGTTGCTCATTATAAGCAATCCAAATTATTTTGCATAGTCAAAAGGTGAATAATTATAACATTAAGTTGTAAGAATCTCAAAAAACCTTGTAATCGTCTTCGGTGACACTATAATCTAAGTGGTTAACGGCAAATTTGACTGAAAACATGGTATTATCATACTTTGTCATAGACCTTAACAGTTATGGTGATTAAAGCTATACATACATAATGATTAAATGGTAATGAAATGCATGTAATACATAGTGTGAGTGAACACATATATGCCTCGCGAATAACATTGTAATAAGAGAAAATTACGTTGGAAAATCGAAAAAATATTAATTTGCAATGCAAGTTAGAAGAGACAAAGAAAACGGGGAAAATTTTTCTTGCTGCACTAGACAATAGTTAGTCGTATTATGTGCCATTTTGAGATACATTGGCGTCATCATACAAAGACATTAAAGGATAATTCTCTCTATAAATTTAATGTGTTGTTAGTTTTCTGACAGAGAAAGTAAAATATAAGTAATTTATTAATTAAATATTAAGAGAATAACGAACAGATAATTCATATTTCTCTGCTTTCAACAATAAAGCATGTGCCCTTAGAAGTTTGGACACTCTTTCCACATTTACACATAATCCGACAATATCGTTTTTAATATATGGCGTGAAATTTTCGTTCACAGAAGCAGTAATTGTAGTACGTCTCTCTTAATTAAAGCAGACCGAGTTTGAATAATGAGGCCCTCTGACAAATGGGAACTACAATGACGTTTATTAAAATTAATATTAAAGGACTTGCAAAATTCATGTTTTCATTGGCAAAATATGTGAACCATTTGAATCGCATTTTGTCATAGTAAAAACCAGTTCAAATCGAAAGTAATATCTGTCGTGTTAATGTTGGTTTTTTTCTGTATGTGCAAAAAAATGTATGTAATGGTTTATGATAAGATTTATTAGAACACGTGCACGGTACATTTATTTTCTATGCAGTATATCTTTTAGTATAACTTTCACCATGTCATATTTTGTAATTTGGTCTTTGCCGCAGTTAGTAAGAGTCTCGTCATATTCACTCGATACACTCCGGGCATCCTTTTGGTTCTACATCATTTGCCATATTTTTATTTCACTATAAATTACTACTGTGTATGCACCAAGACTTCACATAGGTGTATGTACCTCTGTCATAACCTCTAAACCCTTCACCTAATGCAGTTTTCACTGAACATTATTGAATCAAAAGTGAAGGTATATGCCAAAACGTTACTATTCGTATTTTTTTCAGTTTTAGAAAAATTCAATTTTCAATTTTTTTAATGGAATATAATATTTTTTTTTAATGGAAACTTTTTTTAAGGATACAGTTTCCCTTGAAATTAATAAATCAGAAACAGACGAATACAATCCTCTAACAATTGGTAAATATTTAAAAGTAATTTTGAGTAAAAACATATTTCTGACATTTGATTTCAGAAACTACTTAGTAGCTAATAATGAAGAACTTGAAATTATTGATTTCTTTTAACAGCTTTTGGAGCGATTGTCTTCGATGCGGGTGATCGTTGCAGCCCAAGACTTTTCGACTGGGAGGGTCGGCACGGAATGTGTGGTATTGCATTGAATATGTGTGTGGGGGGGGACAAAAATGTGGAAGGGAACATTCTGCGCGGTATGTGATTCGCTTTTCCAGGGCACTACTCCGGCATTCGCCTAGTATATAGTCTTCCCTTCTCCTGCCTTGCCGTGCGTACCAAATCACGCGCGCGTGCTCCCTCGCAGGCCGTAGCCGTGCCGGTGGTGCGTCCCCGCCCAGTGCCCGTGGAGGTGCCGCAGCCGTACCCGGTGACGGTGGCCCGGCCAGTGCCCGTGCCGGTGGCGCGCCCGGTGGCCGTGCCTCAGCGCGTGGCCGTGCCCGTGGGCGTGCCCGCGCCCTACCCCGTGGTGGTGCCGCAGCCCGTGCCCGTCGCCGTCGCCAGACCCGTCGCCGTGCCCGTGGCGCAGCCTGTCGTCGTCGCACAGCCTGTCCTCGTCTCGGTAAGCGCTTCCGAAAACGACTAACGAATGTGCGAGAAAGTTAAGGTTTGGGTTTCACCGTAAGCTTTGCAGCTTCTAATTAGGGTACGAATTAACTTTGATAGAATGTAAATGATACCAATGAATAGTAAAATATTTGCATTATAAGTTCTGATAATGCAACTGATATCAGTTTGAAAATTTTCGTTCAAGTGTTCAAAGTGGAATAAATAAGTTACTATTCCTAGAAATTGGATTAAAACGGCAATAACATTTGCACGTAGCGATGTTACCTTGTAAAATGTTTACGAAGTTCTATAGTTCTTTGTACAATTATATCTATTAAGCAACATTTCACTAATTGTAAATCGAATTGTTGTTGAAATCTTTCGAAACCCCAAAACAAACATTGTTTTACGAGGTAAACTTTGCTAAAAATAAAATATTTAGTAGGTAATTCTGCGCATTATATGTTAACAATTCACTTCAAAATTGTGCCAATGTTTCACAGTCCTTAGAAATACGTCTTCCATTCACGAATGTTTTACTTATCACCATTCCATAATCATTTTATTGGCTAAAAAACACTCCGTTTTCATTAAGCCATTTCCTTCAAAACTAGCGGAATATTATAGCTTTTAATTTAGCTCATTTGATAGTAACTGCTTCTCGGTGTTTTATATGTTTTGACGTTGCTGGATTTTCCCCTCTACTGTCGTAAATGTCGGTAATCTTATATGAGAAATGTCATAATTGCTTTTTCTTCCTTGGCAGGTTGGAGGCGGTGGCGGAGCGGGTGGGATTGGAGGTGGCGCAGGCGGTGGCATCGGCGGTGGGGTCGGAGGCGGCCTCGGCGGCGGTCTCGGCGGCGGCCTCGGCGGCGGCTACGGCGGCGGCTACGGCGGTGGCTACGGCGGCGGCTACGGCGGCGGCATCGGGGGCGGCCTTGGAGGAGGCCATGGAGGCCTCAGCGGTTCCATCGGAGGTGGTCACGGAGGCGGCCTAGGAGGTGGTTATGGAGGCGGTTCCATCGGTGGTGGCCATGGCGGCAGCATCGGCGGCGGCTACGGAGGTGGCTACGGAGGAGGAAGCTCCAGCATCTCCGTTTCGGTGGGCAAACACTAACTCGCCCGAACCCTCCCATTCCCTTCCCTTCCCGTTATCCCAGCGCTCTCTTCCCTTTCCTCGTCCTTCGCCAGCCCCTACCCCTCTCGTTGATCACGACCTGTCGACAGGTCTTGTTATTTTTGTACGCGCACTGCTCAATAAAGTCTTTTTGGCATACCTCATGATATGTTTTTCTTTCATTAACACAAGCCCTCGTGAAAGGTAGTTAATTACTTCAGTCACTTCACCATACTGCTTTAGGGCCCCAGCGCTAGTCAGCATTTATTCTCATCGCTTATTCATTATCATTCTATTTGTACACATTTTTTGAAGTGTCAAACTTTAATTATTGGAAAAGATTTGTTTTTTAATTTTCCAGGAAATTCAAACAGGCATGAGATTTTTACAGATAAATATTTCAATTTACAGATGTGTAAATGTGTTCAGATCATTCATATTAACGATAATATATTTATAGTAAATGCATTTACTTATGTATTCGTGTATTGCAAAGAAGAAATTCGGGAATTAGTAAAATAATGTCATTTGGTATTATGAAGATATGTTTTTGATAACTTTATGTTTTTATAACTTTAAGTTTATGTTAACTTTAAAAGAGCTTCAAATTGCTACTCTTCAAGAATAATATTTTTCGTGACCCTGCAATTATACGTTTGAACGTTCCTGCACAATATTCCTTCCTTGTTGTCTTAGCATATGTTAACAAATTTTTTCAGAGATGCTAATACACCCTGGAAATGTAATCACAATTGCGTAAGAGAAATGTGTGCTTTCGATTATTTTTCTCGCATAAAAATATCAGACTTTCAAACCTATAACCAAATTAATATATTTGGATATTTCCTTTGCATCAAAATTTTACACAATAAAATGCCTTTTTAAGGCATTCATTTCTAACGCAGCACGAGCCCGTACGCTTATCATGCTTAGTTGCCAAACAATAGTGAAGAGACGCGGAAGTTGTTCATCGAGCGAATAAACAGCGAGCGGCGGCACCGGAGGGAAGTAGCGAAGAAAGAGGGGAGGATGGGGCGGGGTGAGAGAGGGGATTGAGAGGGGATGGCGAGGGCGTTGGGAGGGGGCGATGCAAACGAGCGCTGCCTGGCGGCGAGCGCACTACTAACGAGCTCTGCGCAGGGGAGGAGGTCGGCGTCCTCACCCTACCCCTCGCCCTCGTCCTGGCCTACGCTCCTGGAAGACACGTTTACCCAGGCAGCTGATGTCACGCGCGTCAGATGCTCAGGAATTCATTAAACCTGGTCGTAATATTTCATCTTTAAACCTTTACTCCTTTTTTCTTCTTCCTGCTCGTCGTTTACCAGCTGACATGACCCAGCGCCATAACTGTTTCCTCAGCAAGGTCTCTGACCGGGAGGTCCTAGGGTTCGACTTCCGACGGGGGCGGTGTTTTCCACCCTAGCTAGCTCTTGGCGTCAATGTACATATCAACTCTTGACTTGAATCATTTTCTTCCTTCATTTATTTTCTTATTTCAGCCTTTGCTTCCCCAGAAAGCGAGACACGACCGTAACGTGTTGCTGTCGAAGCTCGCAAGCAAATACGAGCCAACTCGATCGCGATCGGTGTCAGGAGAGAGAAACAAACTTATAAGAAAAAAGCAAGAAAAGGCAAAAGAGAGACAAAAGGCAAAATAGGCATCAAAAGATAAAATAGACAAAAACACAAAATGGAAATCAACCAAAACAACCACAGAAGTAAAATTAAATTATTCTTAATGTTAAAACTTATATATTTCTAACAAAAGTAAAAAGGCGTATTTCCAAACTTGGAGGTCCTACTATTGATAATATAAGTTGACTTTCGCGGATACACTAGGTAATCAATCAATCCTCTTCCTGCAGCACTCTAATTCTCCAGGATGATGATTACCCTCAATAATCCTCCTTACTTAATCTTCTGTTGAGCGTACTTTATTCGGATGAGCATATTAATAATACTGGTAGTTAACTTGCCAAAAGAGTTGTATTAGACATGAAAACCTAAATAGGTTTACAGTATTTGGGTTACTTAAACCTCACATTCATGAAATTTATGTATATAGCTATCACAACTATAAGAAATTAGGTGGATGTACAAAAGCGAAATATCACATATCATGTTATATAATTTTAAACTTTAGATGTTGTAAAAGAATAAAAGTTTTACTAGTTTTAATACTCATTAAGACATTTTGTTCATTCATTCCCACTTTAATTACAATGATACATGAAGAAGACACAAGAAGTCTAATTCTCTTTTCAAATATATTTGAAGAAAATATATTAGAAAATAAACAAAATACGCTCTTCTTTAGCAAAATTAGAACCTGCGCTCTTTGGAAGACGTTAAATTTCATCAACACCGACGCCTAAAAGGGGAGGTTTAAATGCGCTATCGAACGGCCCGGGCAGGGCCGCGTCAAGCGCGCATGTGCCCCAGTTCCAGCTTCTTGGCAAGTTGGCTCCGCACGGCAGATGAGCCGGCGGCGGGGCTGAGGCGTGTCACGAGGTCGTTGACCTGCCAAGAAGAGCGCTCGACGCCGCCTCACCGCTCCCGCCCCCGCCCTCGCAGCGCCACGGCTTCCGCCTCCGCACACCACACCGCTCCACGGCGTTCACACTTCTGATTAGGACCGTGCACGTCTTTGTCATCGGCTTAGGTGGCTCCGGGCTTCAATTGATGTCAATGGTACCCCTGAGCCAGAGGCACTAGGGTTCGAGTCACGACGGTGGCACGACTTGCGACACTAGCTACATAGGTAGATTAAGAGGAGAATCTAGCGGGCGACTGCGCTGGCCGGTAGATTGCCGATTGGCCGTAAACTTCTCATATCGAAATAAGATCAATGCCAGAGCCAAATTCTGATAAACGGGCCACCGACCACAAGCGATATTTCCTTCTTCTTCCTCGCTCAATTACTTACTTACTTACTTACACACATTTTCACTTACGAGATGCCTGGTGGGGTCAACATCCCAGAATCCGATCGTTGGTCGGTGCTGGATCTCGCCCCCCTGCGCGCACGATCACCAGCCTCTACCGCAATAAAACATCCACTACACTTTCAGGACCAGTAACCTTAGCAGTGAACTACACCTGAAATCATCAATCGATCAACATCCTTGTTATTTTATCGGTTTCTGAAAATTAACTAAGTTTTTTAATTACGCCAATTGAGTTAATTATTTAACTCAATTTTACAATTATTTTTCTTATTTGAATGTATTCTTGCAATTGCATTGTTTATGAGTAGGGGTGAAATTAGACAGTGGATACAGCTTGCAAACGTCGAAGAGTTGCTTGGCTTGGAAATGGTAAAGGATTTATTTTCAACATTAGGCATCTGTTTTTGTGCAGTTAATACACTTTTCATCATACAGGAAACACTTAAACGGCTAATAACTAGTGATAACTAGTGGTTAGAACACTGATATAGACATAAGCAGTCACTTCATGCTATCTATAGTGCAAATTCTTTTCACCCTAATGATTACATGTAACGTTGTCTGAAAGTGGTCAAAATCGAGTAAAAAGTAGGTTAATAGTAATGGTCTGTGTTGCGGCGGTATGCGTCAGTTCGAGAAAAGCGCCGAGACAACGGCGCGAAACAGCTTCCCCGAAGTTTGTCGGGGCGGGGTATCTAATCAATCCATTCTTCCTCTCACACGGCCGGAGCCTGCAGAGTTCTTTTTCAATTTCTGCGTGCATTGGAAGTTTGTAATACACTAGATTTTTTTTAAAAATAGCAATAGAAATTGTTTAACTATCGAATACATTAATGTTTTCGTAGACATCACAAAATAGATACTTTTTATTTTACTTGCAGTTTATCATAATTAAGTGATAATTACAGTGTTCATTATTTCTTTAAAGTATAATTATTTGTTTTGTTC